CAAAAAAATCCTTAGTTAATTAATTTTCATTATAGACAGCTTTATAAAAGTATAAAAGGCCTCATAAAGTATTTTTCTGAGGTCTGTCTTATCAGGTAAATTACTGTACACAGTGTATTCATTAATTTTCATTTTCATGTAGTAAAGGCTCTATGCCTTCATAAAGGACGTACTTTTCCTTTGTTTAAGGGTATTTGGGTAGTTTATTCTCTGTTGTATTCTCAAGTAAACAAGACATACAAGTACAGTACAGTATTTTCTGAGGAAACACTCGTACTTATTTTTTTTAACCCCATTCCCGATAACCAGGCATTTTCACAAACTCAGCCACCCTTCGGTCCACATTAGGCTGAGTTTTCGAGACTCTACTGTATTATTATTCTGTTAATGTACAGTCCTTGACATTTATGAAGCTAAAATTAATATATTAAAAAAATTAATATTTTTACTTCCAAAAATTAATGTGTTACTTATAAATATAATACTGTAACGGACAATAAATGCAATCTATGTAACAATAACTGGAAAGTTTATTCACATTTAACTATAATTTGACTCACTTTATTAGATCCCAAAAAAGTGAAAATGAAACTTTCTGCAAAGCTGTTTGGTTTGGAATATTCTGATTTCGATTTTATAATACGGATGAAGTGAATTGATAATTAATTTAATAAATAAAAATTAACGATAAAAGTAAAATCAGTTTCAGAAGATCACAGTATTTCCAGTACAATGGTGTTGCAGAAAATCTTACCTGTCAGATTTTTCATTGTTGAACTAAGCAATGATGGAATCAGAATTGTGTTAGATTGTGTTCTTACCATTACAGAGAGAAATGAATGCTCTTGTAAATGCTCAAAACACAGAACAATTTAAAAATAATATTCCAGTGCATTGTGTAAACATATGAATTGCTGACAAATCTTGTAAACATATTTGATATGACAAAATATCAGTGATACTTGTATCATGTAGACTAGCCTCAAAGATGGGTTCACAAAAGTAGAACAAAAAATAATGGAACAAAGACAACCAAAATTGGGATCATATAAACTCTCCAAAACTAATGGAATATGGTTCCCAAACATAAGCCTATATAATATATATAGACTTATGCATGGTTTTGAGAACTACATTCCATTATTTTTTATGTTTTACTTATGACTAATTTGAGTTATGATAGAAATGCATAAATAGAACTATGTATTAGGTTAAGACTACCTCTACAATACATAGATACATATTATTTGGATAAATATGGGTAATCCTCACCCTAAATATATGTGATTAATTAGTTCTGTAATTATACCACATATATCAAAAACTATACATATTGAAGTTAACAATCAATAAGAAATAAATTAATTTGTGAATTAAGTCATTGAAAATGTGCCTGAAATTATAATTTTTGATATTTATATTTATTTGATATATATTTGCAGAAATTACAGGANAACAATCAATAAGAAATAAATTAATTTGTGAATTAAGTCATTGAAAATGTGCCTGAAATTATAATTTTTGATATTTATATTTATTTGATATATATTTGCAGAAATTACAGGAGTCATTATTATACACACAAATAGAAATTAAACTGTCTAGATAAGAGTAATGCACTAGAAAAACTAGGGTTCACATTTTTGTACTAACAGTGAACAAGAATGAGACGGGATCAGTTTATTGTTGCTAACTCTAAGCTGTGTCAACCTGGCAATATTGAATTTTCAAAATGACTTGCATTAACCAAACCCACATTGATTGAAACTTCATGTATCAAAATTACCTCTACTTTAATTATATACATATACAGTAAAATCTGTGTAAGCTAGATTTTTATGGTATTGAATATTTTTTCTGATTTGGCAGGTTTCCATTTTATTAAAGTTCTGTTTTAAACAAAGTTTTACTGTATATAATTTGATTATTATTAATGTATGAATGCAACGAAAATTTATTTAATCTTAATTGCATTATTATTCTTTTAATATTTAACCATATATTCATTGTCATATAATTGAAATTATAAGGTAATTGCAGAATTTCTTGATACCAAGAATGGAATAATGATTGGATTATAGAATCTTGGTCCTTAATTATAGATCAAGAAAATGAAGTATTCAAAGTTTTACAATTATTAAGAAATTTATTAGCTTAATTGAAATTTAATGAAAAAGGATCTTTAACTTAGTAATTTGACCTTTAGTATTATTTATTTTTTAATACTAATATCTTAATACTACTATCTTTAATAAAAAAATTTTATTTTGTAATGTAAACTGAACATAATACAATATTTTATTTTTAGGCTTTTATGAAAGAAAGCTTGCATACAAATTTTAATTACTTTATGGCTGTGCCTATTACTGATACTAAAAAACTAGAACAGGTATGTCTGAAATACTATAAATTTATATTTAGGGGCACTGGTCATCTTATTGAAAAGACACAGTCAACATCTCTAGTGCATGGAAATTTTGCTATGAAGGAACAACCCACACGTAATTGGTGTAATGNCTACTTTAATTATATACATATACAGTAAAATCTGTGTAAGCTAGATTTTTATGGTATTGAATATTTTTTCTGATTTGGCAGGTTTCCATTTTATTAAAGTTCTGTTTTAAACAAAGTTTTACTGTATATAATTTGATTATTATTAATGTATGAATGCTTACATTTTTTCAGTATCACCTATTTAAATTATTACTTTATTATTTCTTAGAATAAAAATGATATGAAAATCAAAATGGAATTATTAATTCTTCGCATTCAGGTAAGATACATTTCAGAAGATAGGTAAGATATTTTTTTTACATGTACAGTGTCTAAAATTTTGATAATTTAAATTATATTTGAATTATATTAAATTTATATAATGCTATTTTAAAGCTAGTTTTGTGAAAATAAAATTATAAAAAATTTTAAAATACTTAAATGCAATAAGAATTATAAGGAAGGAAGTTTCTTATGACAATTAGATTTATAAGGAATTAATTAATGAATTATTATTTTTTCTTTCTAATATGAAACCTTGTCTGTATTTTTATTTGGTTTATATCACACAATGAAGTGTACTACAATTGACACAAATCAATTTTGTCGATTGTACTATACTTCATTGTGTGATATAAACCAATGAATTTATTGTTTTTATGGTGAAATTTTTAGAACTTTTCATGCATTAAAAAATATAAGAAGTCCTGAAATTTGGTAGAATCTCTTTCCATAAAATTAAGACATTTATAGTTTTTCTGTTTACAATAAACCTTTGGCACCTCTCATCTTACTATCTACAACTTATTTTCAGTATCAGACATATTTGTATGTAGTCATTCTTGATTTGATAGATTTAATTAAATTTATTTTTCATTTAGTATTTTATAAATTCATAATTGAATTATATAAAAATTAATATATCAATAATGAGATATTTTAACACTATTTTAAAGACATAATAATAAATTTTTTTACAACAAAATAAAATTTTTCTTGTTTGTATGTTTTGTTTCTCCAAAAACAAAAAAATACACACAGATCTGTAAGATTTGTCATAGCTTTTTTCCATATATGATAGCCTGATTCACAAAGAAGTTAGACATTTTTGCAGTAATAGCATTGCACTTATCACTTTAAAATATTTAAATTTCTAATGGAATTGATGAGTCTCAGTTTGAGTTTGTTGAGGTTAACATTTTACTCTCAAGTACCCTCTCAATTATGTATATTGAACTTATTTTATGTTCATATTCATATGACTCAAAATTCAGAAACACAAGAGATGTTATAAATAAAAGAGATATAACTAAGCTGTTGAGCTGATTCTGAAACACAATTATAGGATAAATTGAAATTGTACAGAATTAATTTCAAGAGGTAGTAAAACAGCCTTCTTTTTTCTCTTGAAACTTCAGCAATTCTTATTTATAAGCAAGCATGTGTGTCTGTTGAATTTCAATGGGTTTTTGTTTTTTTTTAAACAAAAAGCTTCTCTGTGTTCTTGTTTTCATACAGATGCATGTGTGAAAACAGAATGCAGGTTCTTAGTTTTACTGTTATTGATTTTTAAGCCTACTTTCTTTGCCTTTTTCTCCAAAGATGATGTGTTTAAAGTTAGATCAACTTTACTTTAGTATCTAGACAGGTATCATATGCATAGGCAAATGCTTGGTGCAAGTCATTCATGCAAATTCCTCTGCCCAGTTTCCTGAACTTATCTCGTTATTTTTTATAGTGTCAGATGAAAGAGAATTTGACGAATATGTCATCTTCAACTTTGAGAATTTTGCTTTTTTGATTTTGACAAAATTTTTGATTCTATTTATCATATTTTTGTTAGATTGATAAAACCTAACAAAAATTGATAGTTTTTCCTCCACTACTTACATGTCTGAAAATATTTGAACAACCATGCATCTGTTTTACTTGAAATTTGCTTGATAGTTCTAATATTTCATAAGAGTATGCATATACTTACTTAAGCATGTATAGGCCACATGCATGTATAAGCCACACTTTGTTTATGAAACAATATATTTGGAAAAATAAAAATCTTAGAATTCTGCGAAGTGATGAGAGTAGAGACACGAGTATACAGAATTATGGCAACACTGCAAATTTCAAACAGATGAAGTGATGGTTAGTGCTTAGTTGAGTGCTTGCTCAGTGCGTGTTAAACATGGGCCGAGTGAGAGTGAGTTACACAGCAAAGTTTAAATTGCAAGTAGTGCATTATGCACAAGAAAATGGAAATTGAGCAGCAGGAAGGAAGTTTGATATAGACAAAAAAAAACATGCAGTGATGGATTCAAACAAAGGATGCTCTTGACAAAACACCACAAAATCAGCAATCGTTTCACAGAAAGACAGTGAAATATCCTAACATGGAAGCACATCTGTTGAGATATGTCTATGAAATTTGGGCAAACAGATTTTCTATATCTGTTGAAATGATTTGGTTCAAAGCCCGAAGGATTGCTCAAAATATGAAAATTTCCAAAAGTGAATTTAAAGGAAGTTACAGCTGGATATGACATTTTATTACATGACATGAGCTTGAGTTTCAGCATCAAACTTTAATGGTGCAGCGACTTCCTGACATGTATGGAGAGAAATTGCTCTCATTTCAGAAAGATGTCCTTAGCTTATGAAAGACACAGAGCTATGACTTAGGCATTGCTGATGAAACTCCTGTCTTCTTTGATATGCCAAGTTACACTACAGTCAATCAGGCAGGTGAAAAAACAGTTTTGGTGTGAACAGTGGGAGCAGAAAAGCAGCATTGTACTATAATGCTGTGCATCACCACTGATGGAAACAAGCTGCAACCTTATGTCATTTTTAAGTGTAAATCCCTGCCAAAAGAAACACTACTGCCTGGAATATTGGTATGAGTTTAAGATCAAGGCTGGATGACAGAAGAACTCTACTTGGATTGGCTGAAATTAGTGTGGTTTTGGCATCCAGGTGCACTGTTACATCAGCAGTCCATGTTGGTTGTTGACAGTTTCTGAGGTCATCTGACCAAAAGCATGAAAAAGAAGATGAGGGAAGAGAAAAGTGACATGGTTGTGATACCAGGAGGGATGACTGGAATGCTGGAACTACTTGAAGGACATCAACTGTCCTTTTAATGCTCATCTGCAACATTTCTACTATGATTGGAGGTGCACTGTGGTGGAGACAATGTCAACCGGAAGGCTAAGAAAACAGTCCTGTCTCATTTTTAAATTTAAAGATTTAGAATAATTGTGTATATGAAAAAATAAATTTAGCAATTATGGTGCAGATGGAAGGAGCAAATGTAAAATGGGATGAGGCAAAAATCATTAAAGCAGTCCAATCCCAACCATTACATTAGAAATGGAAAAGATGGAAATATATAAAAGTAAAATAAAAAACCGTTGCCTAAATGCCAAGGATGCTAACGCTTCCAATAGCATGGAAGTACATGATAGAAAAAAGCATGGGGATTAAAAACCCTTAAAACTTGTAATAGTTATTTTTAGCCTTGTATACGGTGTTTATTTATTTATGCCATTTTATTTTATTTTATTTTACTGTTATTTATTTATTGTATTTATTTATTTTTTCATATACACAATTATTCTAAATCTTGAAATTTNCGTCTTCTTGCGCCACCAGAGGACATTTTAAACAATAGGTAGTCTGTTAGCGTTGGTCAGTAGTAGTCCCAAATTCAATATGAACATTTGTTTCTTGAAAATTTGATTACGATTTAAATACAGTATTTACTTTTAATATTACTGATATGTCATCGAAAAGAAAACGTGTTGTATTATCATTAAAAGACAAATTAAAGTATTTGTTTCAATTATCTGGATTTTTCCTTATCCAGACTACCTTCATCCCCAATTAGTCCAGATAATCGAGGTTCTACTGTATATTATTTATTATTACCTAAACACTGCAATACATTCATATTCTGTCATTTTCAAATTAATTTACTCATTTAGAGATTAATTTTATGTTATATTTGAAAAACTGTACTTTAGTTTGAAATTTAAATATACTCCTCATTGACACTATATGTTTTAAAAGTATTAAAATATAAATAATAAAGCAACATTAAGTTTACTGCTGTTATATTGTGCACACTAGGAGCTGTCATGTATCAATCCTCCATGTATCACTGAAAAGGGCATTTGTTTGAAAAAGTATGACAAAACTAATAAGAATTTTACTATGCTTAATGAATCTAGATTCTATATGGTTGTTAAGTTTGTCTAAAATGATAGAGACATTAGTCACATAGTAATATTTTTCTGGTGATTCGACTTTGATTTGGTGTTGCTGCTTACTTAATCTAGGAACATAGAGATATTATGATTTTCTGTAAGAGATTTTACTTTCTCAATTATCATGTGGAACACTTCACTTGTCAACTTCCTCATGATTTTTAGTTCCTTTATGGAATTTTGTGCAGAGGAACAGCTTTAGCCAGGGGCACTGGTCATCTTATTGAAAAGACACAGTCAACATCTCTAGTGCATGGAAATTTTGCTATGAAGGAACAACCCACACGTAATTGGTGTAATGTGGATTTATTACAAGCGCAACTTACGCAAGCTTTGACGTCATCGATGCAAGAGCGTGGTGTTCTATATTTTTGATATTAACGTTGACATTCTAGGATTTGAATCGCATTTATTCGGTTCCTGTTCGATTTTGTACTGTTTGAATTTATTAAAACAGTGGCCTGAAGAAGACCCTGGTAGGGTTGAAAACGTTTGCCAAGAAGAATAACACTGAAGATTGAAAGGTTTTTAGTTGAGAGAATTATATTACTTCCAGTATTAGAAGGGAAGTTCATTAGTGAAAAGACACACTTAAGTCATATGAATTCCTTTATCTTTCAGATAGTATCCAAATCCAAAGGAATGGAATTAATCTCTCTCATTAGTTTCAGTTTTATACTAATCTGTTCAGTTTCAGTTTCCATATTGTCTGGAAAGATTTGCCATTCTTATCTTATTTTCAATTAAAACATCATCTATTATGTTATTTTAATATTTTTTTATATAGGACTGTAAAATTTTTTAATTTTGATATTAATTAATTCATCTTATAAAATGCAGTTTGGGATTTTTTTTTCCTTCTTCAGCCATGTATTTTAAATTTAATTCCCACAACTTCTGCTTACTGTGCAGTTGCAACTGTGCTTACTGCCCTAGATCAATCTTTTCTTTTAGAATCTTTTCTAAATTAATTAATTTAATTCCAATTATTAAATTTAATACAGGATGGTACTTAATATATCATTAGTTCAAATATAGAATATGTACACATTTAATTAGCTAGATCAGGGGGGTCGCCAAACTTTTTTAACCGTCGACCCCCAATCACTTTCCAAAGCCTCACATTGACCCCCACTGTAAAGTTTTATTACAAGTGTATATGTATGAGCGAAAAAAAAAACGTTGTGGGTTGTGGTCTCTGTCTAAGCAAATAAAAAAGAAAAAAAAAGGTTGTGACCCCTTAGCCGCATCGACCCCCAATGATGTTGCATCAACCCCTGGGGGTCCACTTTGGTGACCCCTGAGCTAGATT